CATCTTTACCTTCTCAATAAGTATTTACATGCCAAGTAGAAGGTACCAGAGCCCTTGGGCTGGGTTTCCTGGAAATTTGGCTTTCCTTGAGGGATGCTCCTCAACTGAATACAAATCTGGCCTCCAGCCTGGCTAAAACTTACATACATGTTCTGTTTCCCTCATAAACTGTTCAGTGCCTAAAATGGCAAGTTGACAGCATTTGCCAACATGGATTTTTACAGGCTGCACCTCCCACTTCCTCCTTTCTGACAAACCTGGAGGAAGGCACTGTTTGGCCAGCATGGCAGGTGAGGGCTGGATTTCCATCAGTCAGGCCTCTGCCATCCATGACCATCAGGCTGGTTTTCACGAACTTCTCTAAGTCCTCTTCATCACCTGTACCAACCCAGAAGACATTTAAAAATGACGAAATTAAGCCAGTGTGTTGTGCCCGTTTGCATGTTTTCCTGAGGCACGTGATGTTTTGCCTGTGAAGGTGAACTCCAAGGGAACTGCTGCCATTTTGGTTCTCCAAAATTAGATGTGACTGCCTACCCCAGGACCTGCAGAGATGGTTTTCTCCCCCCTTGGGATAACACCAACTACAAAAGCCTTGAAGGATGCTTCAGGTGACCGTGGCTCATGCCAAATTGGATGTCCCTTAAGTCCTTCTGGGAGTGAAACAGAGATGGGGGCTGGCAGGTTTCTTTGCTCGTACTTGGTGGAAACATTCCAACTCTGAAACCCATACCTGTTCTCTGAACTCCATGTGAGGCTTCCTGGTGGAATGAGTGAACATCAATTCCTTCTCTATCCTAAATGTTTCATATTTAGTCCCCAGCCTGCCCCCCAGGGATTACAAGTTTGGCTTAAATTATTTTTATTTTTAAACAGTAAGGAAAGTGTTCCATTTTAATTTTTTTTTTCATGCAGCATTTCTTCTGAACATCTTTTAGTTGTAGGTCAGAAAACAGTTGATAACTTTCTTAGATTTGTGGGTATGACAGTTTCATCCTGCTCTCTTTTTTCCTTTCATGTCATATTTAGTCTTGGGATCTTGTTCCTTTCTTTTCTGCCAGGAAGATAAAAACGCTACTGAAAAGTTCAAAATTTACACAGTGGAATTAAGTTGTGGGAAGATAGTAGTAGGAACATTTACGTTTTATTCCCAGATTAAAGTTGATTGGGGTTGTTATGTTTTGTGTAGTTTTTGGAGGCATTTCCCTTTCTTAGAACATCATGTGAGTTAGTGGTGATAATTAGGCAGAAACTTGTCTTCCCTACAGATGCCAAGATTATAGAGGGACTTGCTCTCACCAGAGACCAGATGACAGCATCTATGGATATTTTTAGAATGAGCCTCATCATTTATTTGGTCTCTCCATTTCATTTTCTTTGCATCAACAGTCTGATTTCAAACTTATTTATTGGGCAGGGAGGGAGAAGAGAGTATCTTCTCCCTATTAATAAAAGTCACTGATGGGGGCCGGCCCCATGGCTCACTTGGGTGAGTGTGGTGCTGTTAGCGCTGAGGCCGCGGGTTCGGATCCTATATAGGGATGGCCAGTGCGCTCACTGGCTGAGCACGGTGCGGACGACACCAAGCCGAGGGTTGCGATCCCCTTACCAGTCCAAAAAAAAAAAAAAAAAGTCACTGATGGAACAGGACAATATTTTAAAATGTATTGTTAATTGGCATATTGCCTGGTAAGTGTGAAGTGACAGCTGTAATTTCATCAGCTATATGCTTCCTTTTTCCTTCTAAAAATTATGCTTAATCTGGGCCGGCCCGGTGGCGCACTGCTACAGTGTGCCGCTTGGGAAGCGCAGCGGTGCTCCCGCGTAAACCTTGCGGTGAACTAAAATGTCATGCTTTAAACAATGTAAGAATGATATGAGTTTCCTTAAAACCCATGAAACTTGTACGCCAGCTAAGTATCCTTGAATCCCTCGCTGAGTAGCTGGTTTCATCATTTAATGTGCTCCGTCTACTCTTGCTGTCCATGGTTGAGTCAGATAAATGTGTAAACACTGAGCTACAAAAGAGCCATTAAAAGTCTAAGATGGATTAGTCGTTGCTTTCCTTATGATTATTTTTATTACCCTGGTCTTCTTTTTTTTTTTTTTTTTAAAGATGACCGGTAAGGGGATCTTAATCCTTGACTTGGTGTTGTCAGCACCACGCTCAGCCAGTGAGCAGCCGGTCATCCCTATATGGGATCCGAACCCGTGGCCTTGGTGTTATCAGCACCACACTCTCCCGAGTGAGCCACGGGCCAGCCCTACCCTGGTCTTTATCATGAATGGTGATTCTGGTGTTCCTCTTAGAAGGATGCTTGTATTTATGTGATTCTTTTATGTTTTCACAATATTTTACAATCAGTTTTCCTTCTATCACAGAGATAAGTAGTTGCCTTTCTGTTCTGTGGAGTGGGAGTTTCTACATTAAATTTGTCCTCTGTAAGAGCTGCCTCTAGGTCTGGGCCTGGGCTTCTGCCGACTCAGCCTACAGGTACAGAGGCAGTTTCCTGAGCAGGCGTCCCTTAGAGGGCCTTGCCTGGGAGACCTTGGAGGAAGTTCCAGGACATAGTGTCACAGGTGGCCCCAGCCCCATTCTGCAGAAAGGGAAAGAGTGATGATTAGTGCATCTCCTTTTTAATGATGAAGTTCCCTGAAGATTCTGGGCCTTTTGTTGAGGGAATGGGTTTTTGGCCTGGAAATTGTTGTTGGTTGTTGCTTTAGACTGCCCCATGTGGGCCCCCTGCCCCTGGTTTCAGGGCTGATGGCCTGTTCTACTTAGCATGATGGCATGGTGGGGGTTTATGGGTACCCTGTGTCTCCTTCCCTCCTATGTCGGCCCAGTCCCAGCATTAGAGCAAGCTGCATGTGCTGCCTCTGTACTTGGGGAATGAAGTGTGTCACCTTCCCATTATGCACTGGTTTCCGTGGCTGAATAATTAACACCAAAGGGAACTGGGGGAGGGGGTCCGAATTAGGTAATACTTTACAACTTCTCCCATGGCACTTAACAGTAAGTCAGGATCAGGACTTGGGGACCATAGTCCCCTGATGACTAATTGCATAGTGATGTTAGATTGTGGTTTATTAAGAGTTATTGTCAAAGAGAAAACCAAATCTCCTTCCAAAGGACTGTATCAGAGCCCCTGTCCATTCATGCTTCTGGGATCCAAATAGAGTAGCTAGACTAGCATTAGCTCTAGTAGGTAAAATTCCTCATAGATTCTGAGATCTGGTACGTACTTTAGCTTTTTCTCCCTCTGAAATCAGCAAGCCACTGTTTTATAGTTTAAGATAATATTACCTAGTAGCTTTACAAAGCAAAGAACACCCCCAAAAAGCATCAGCCAGGGTAACTAAATACTAGAGATAGGTGGGAAGAAGAAAAGACCTTCTTTTCCTGCTTTATTATCTCTGCCTCCAGTAAAACAACCTAAATTCTTCTATTTGGAGCTATAACAAGGGTAAATATGACCATGGATATGTAATATTATAAATACCAAGTCCTGTGTTTGCAAATATCAGTAGTGACGGATAAGATTGCCAGCAAAAACTGAGTCACAGAAGAGATTGAAGTCACAAGTATACTTGTGAAAATTGCGGATGAACGTATGGTACGTCCTCTAGAGGAAGGAGCAGCAGACGTTGTGATGCGTTCGTGTGTGTCAGCTTATTGGTACATTTTTCATTACTTACTCACCTTGTCTGGTGAGAAGATCATGAGTTTGTGTTGCTTCATTACCACTTTTTATATCCATTTCTTGTCCTAGAGCCACGTTTTTACTGCCATGACAGCCAACACTGTCCATGAACAAAAGATCTTGTCTTGAGGCCTGTCATATTATTTCCTTTAGTTATATCTCTATGAGTATGCTTTTAAAAAAATCCTCTAGCTTTTATGGGCTCAGTGGTCACATGAAGTCTGATAAGACTTGTGTAAATTCAGATGCTCTGAGAAGCTCTCCTTTGTGCTTTTCCATCAATGACTGTTGGAGGCAAAATAATAGTAATGTTAATTGTTAATGGGATGTGGGGGATTGTTTGGCTATAAGTGTGTGTCATATAAGTTTTTCTCTGCAAAATTTTAATATAAAAATCAGATTCTTAAGACAGCCCACTTAGGGGCCGGCCCGGTGGCACATGCTACAGTGCGCCACTTGGGAGCGTGGCGGCGCTCCCGTCGAGGGTTCGGATCCCACATACAGACCGGTTCCCGCTCACTGGCTGAGCGAGGTGCGGGTGCAGCACCGAGGTTTGTGATCCCGTTGCCGGTCCCGGTCCGGTACGGGTGCGACACTGAGGGTTGCAATCCGTTGCCGGACACGAAAAAAGACAAAAAAAAAAAAAAAAAAAAAAAAAAAAAAAAAAGACAGCCCACTTAGAGATGACTTACTCCTTTTATGGTAGGGCAAGTTAAGGCTACCCACACCCAGCAGTGCAGACTTATTAAGCTTTTGTAGAGAGTGGCCATTTCATCTCCCCTAGTATTGGGGTATTATTGGGAAAGATGGTAAACAAGCTGTTTGTCCACACAGCCAGTGGGAGAGAACCCGAGAAGTATAGCTGATGTTCTTAGGGTGACCAGCTTTCCTGGTTTTAGCATGAAAGTCCCATGTCCCAGGAAACTCCTCAGTCCCGAAGTTTAGCACTAAGCCCCATCTGTACCTTGGACATCCCTAACTTAAAAGGGCCCACTAAAGCACCAATAATCTGCCTTTCTTTTTTCATCTCCCAAAGCAAATGATGCCATTTCTTTTGAGCTTTTCAACTTTAGAGCATCTCGTGATAAGGACAAAATAAGAAATAAGGTAAGTAGTCTTCACGCTTTGTCCTCAGCTTTTCAGACCTTTGATGCTGGTTGTAGCCAAACAGTTTTACTGTACATGCCCTGGACTCTGAGGTGGGTGAATGAGGAGACTGAGGCTGATGAAGTGCGACCCCAAGGTGCCCACTGTTGCTATTTGAAGGCCCTTAATCTCTGGTTTTCTTTTCTCCTCTAGACCCTCAAACTGACACAAGACCTACAGAGAAAACCCTTTGCCAAATCTGCTCTCAGCAAGTGGACAGTGATACCGTTTACAGCTTAACACCTTTGTGAATCCCACGCCATTTTCCTAACCCAGCAGAGACTGTTAATGGCCCTTTACTCCGGGTGAAGCACTTACCCTTGAACAGAATTCTATAAAGTATGCAAAATCTTCCTTGTACGGGGTGACGAGCCACATGCCAGCGGAGGACCCTCAGCACCGCCCACCCTCGCTCAGAGCACACCTTGAGCCCCCCGTTGGCAATTCTGTGGTGTTTTAATATTGCGATGGTGTATGGGATGTTTTAAGTGTCGTTCTTGTGTTTGTTCTTCTTTGACTTTCTGAGTTTTTCACACGCATTAACTTGCAGTATTTTTCTGTTAAAATGTTAACCATCCTTCCCCTGGCAAATTTAAAAACAGAAGGAAAATGTACCAGTTACCATTCCGGCTTTGGGCATCACAAGCTCTTGAGCCCATGGCACTCCATCAGCTAACACATTACATAAACTATAGGGGGATTTCCTTTCTTCTTTTGTTTGGTAGAAAGTTATTCTTTTCTAAAAACTGAACAATGGCACAATTGTTTGCTTTGCGCACCCGTCCACAACTGAACCATGCATAGGCAAAGCGAGGGGAGCATGGCGTCTGACCCAGTGTGTTCTCAGTTTTGAGTCAGGGTGGTCTGTGGAAGAGACCCCAGCACCTGGTCTCCAGCTGCCAGGTCAGTAGGGCCTGGTCTCCTGTCAGTAGCTTCAGCTAATGTGGTAAACAGTGTTGGTCTGTTGGTTAGAAACTAGGGTCTTTTCAGGAAAGAAATCAGTTCAGCTCTCCACTCATTGCCAAATGCCACAAAAGGATTTAAAGAGAAAAGAAATGGGGGGAGAAGAGGAGTCCTGTTTTGCTTTGCAGGAGAAATGAACTTACAGGTGAGCATTAAGCTTGCAGTGAGAAATGTGTGAAGAGTACAGACTCAAGTCAATGCTAAGGAAGTTCTGACTTCACTGTTCTCTTAGATACACATCCTTTGATTATTTTCTACCTTGCTGTGTATAACCTGATCACTAGAAGTGTATGAGTGAGAGGCAATAGCATACAAACTAATTTTTTTTTAATAAGCTTAGCTTGTCATTGTACAAGTGATGCAATGGAAGTACAAGATTAGGGCAGTTTTTCTTTTCTTTCTTTCTTTCTTTTTTTTTTTTTTTTACTTTCCTGCTTCTGTGGATTTCATTTTGTTTTCAAAAAGTTATGGTGCTGTATAGGTGCTTTCTGTTCAACCTGGAAAGTGTGGTTATATTTGTTACCCTCTTTGGTAGACAGAATAGTTGGGAACACCTTTGGTACATATAAAACTGGTGTAGTGATGCTCTGATTAGCACAGCATATGCATACTTCTCCAAAGTGATATATGAAGACTCTTTTCTTTGCATAAAAAGCATTAGGCATATAAATGTATAAATATATTTTATCATGTACAGTACAAAAATGGAACCTTATGCATGGGCGTTAGGAATACAGGCTAGTATTTCAGCACAGACTTCCCTGCTTGAGTTCTTGCTGATGCTTGTACCGTGGCAGTGGGCACCAACACAGACGTGCCACCTGACCCCTGCACCCACTACTATCCACCAGGGGCCCCTTTGTATACCTTTGCTTTATAACTCCTCTGGGGTGACATTGGTGGTAATCACAGCTCCTTGCATAATGAGAGTTCCATTTGGTATTGTCACACGTCTCCTGCCTTGCTTGGGTTGTCATGTTTGAGCAATAGCCCTGTTGATTTCACCCTGCCTTTTACTGAATCTGTAAATTATTGTGCAATTGTGGTTATAGTAGACCTGTAGCATATCACCTTTTCTAAACTGCTACACGTTTATAATCTTCATTTTAAAAGTATGTATAATTTTTAAAAATATGTATTCTATTCATGTGGTCTGCTTGTCAGTGAGCCATACTTGCTTACTATGTTCCTTTATAATAATGCTAGCCACTTCTGTGATTCTTTAGTAGTCTGATGTACAAAAGAACTGTCCAGTATCAGTGAAAGAGGGCTGCCTTTCTGTCTCCCTAAGTGGTGCTGCCCTGGGTGGGGATGCATTGCAGAGGCATGGGAGCAGCTGGTTGGGAGCAGGGGGAAAGGGAGTACAGAGAGATCAGATACAAGGGAGAATCTGGACTGCTACCAGCATGAGAACCCTGAGACTTTCTCTCCTGAGTTCAAAGAAATAAGCAAACTAATGAAATAGCTCCTTGCCTTTGCAGTTTTATAGACCTTGGGAGCTACTTTGGCAGTGAGAAAGGCAACCCTCCAATGTTTCTCAACTTTAAAATGTTGAATTCCATTCAGACATGTGGGATCTCATTCTATTTTTCCTGATGTTTGTTGGATTTCAGGCAGAATGTCTTACAAAATGTCCTAGAACCAGATTATAATTTAATCTGAAACAGCTGAGGGAAGGACAGAGGTGGACAGGGCTGCCACAAAACAGATCAGGGATGGAGGGGAAATTTGTTTTCTTTTTAAAATAACTCAGACAGCATCTATGTGTAGAGTATTGTAGAGAGCTGAGACAAGGGCAAAGTCAAGTGCAGCATCATTGTCGTGAGACCTAGCAGCCCCAAGAGAAGGATTAGGCAAGAATCAAGTGGTTAGTCCAGTCCAAGATCATGGCATCCTGCCCTCAGCTGGCTGCCCACACAGAGACCAGGCTCCCTGAGACCCTGCTTTCAGGATGGACCAACTGTCAGCCACTGCGTCACCTTCTGAGTGTCATGGGTTCCTAACAGTAAGTTTTCTGATTTGGAGCATCTTAGCAGAATACCTAGTGGCCTCAGAGAGCCTGGCAGCTGTAACGTTTGAATCCTGATGAGAACTATCCAGGGCTACCCTCAGCCTCTAAATAAGCTGCTCTAGGGAGCCTTCTACTTTTTGATGGAAAACTAGAAGAGTACCTGATGTTGACAACATGACATGCACTCTTGGGCTCTGTTCTCTTCAGGACCCCAGAACCTGATACCTTTTACCAAAGCTAGAAAAGAGCTTTAGCACAGCCTTCATTGTCCCACCAGGTTCTGCATGGTGTGAGAGCTGCCCACCAGGTTCTGCATATCCCAAGAACTATGAATGAATTTGAGCTTGGTCTCCTCTATTGCATCCTCTGCAATAAAATGATTGCTGAAACGCATTGTTAAAAAAAAATTCAGAAGTTTGTCTTTCCTGTTAATGGGAGGATCACGTATACACAAGTGGTACAAGGCAGACTTGGTGTTTGTTTTTGGTGTTGAGTTTTAGCAGTGTGTGTGTTACTTCCCCGCCCCGAGGAGAGGACATCAGGACAGATACGCCCGTCTCAGGGTGTGATTTCAGGTGGCTTCCAAACTTGTACACAGTATAAGGATGGTAGGGACAGATTTTGCCTCTACTTAATGAACCCCACCTAAAGAATAAGGCACATTTGAATCTCTTGGAAAACACCATCAGGAGTAAAGCATTCAAAAAGCAAGTCCTCCATTCCACATGCTGGTGCCAAGGGCTGGCAAGGGGCAGTAGGAATGTTACCTTTTTTCTCTAAAAGCAAAAAGAAAACCCCGACAGCTCTGAACTCTGACTCTCTTTTTCTTACTGTAATTGGGGAACATCATATGATTAGACATAAGTTTTTTTTAATTAGACAAATTTTTTGTAGAAATGCAATCACTGGTAAAGAGGTACGAAAAAGGCAGCCTCTCCAGGAGACTGGGGGAGGCAGGGTACTATGAGGGGAAAGTAAAGTTCTTCTGGAATCATGTCTGTCAAACAAGATCTTAAAGCACATGCCCTAGTAACTAAAAAGAGTATATTACATTTGATCTAAATTTTAAGTGGGTAACATTATATGCAGTTTGAATGAATGGCATATTTTCCTTGTGTTAGTTTTATTTGTACGTATTTTTCTTTGATGAATGATTGGTTACAAGGCCTCTGCCACACTCCAGAAATACTTGTGCAGCTGCTTTAAAAACTGTCTGGTCACTTATTCCTCTAACATTATCTCATTGCCTGGCAATCAGTCTTCTCTTGTATACTTGTCCTAGCACATTATGTACACGGGAAATGTAAACAGATGTGAAAGAGGACCAGAAAAATTAGTTACTATTTAAAAAAAAAATGTATTGTGCATTTTGGCTTCACATGTTTAACTTTTTTTAGGAAAAAAAGTTGCATGAATGGAAAAAAAAATCTGTATACAGTATCTGTAAAACTGTCTTATCTGTTTCAATTTCTTGCTCATACCCCATACAAACTAGAATTAAATATGGTGCATGGCCATATTCAAACACCTAAGAATCAAGCAGTTCATACTTCGGTTTGAAACACCTCATCCTTTGTTTCATAGCGAACACTATCATATTACATTCTTACTGAGGATTTTGTCTAACCATATGTTGCCAGAATTAACTCTGCCGCCTTTCTTCTCAAGGATCAAAACCAGTTTGATTTGGGAATCTTTCCCTTTCCAAATGAAATAGAGATGCAGTACTTACTTTCCTTGGTGTTTGTAGATATTGCCTTGTGTATTCCATTTAAACCCGTAATCTAGTTTGTAAAAGAGATGCTGACGCATGTAAATAAAGCATCAATGACACTCTTACTCCAAGATGTCTTTTTGTTCTCCCTTCCCCTTTCTTTATCCTTAGGAATGAAATGGCTGAGTTTATCTCAAGGTCTTTCTGTGGAATTACTTCACAGGCTGGGAGAGGCACAAAGCTGAGAGACTCTATCATACCATCTCTAAACTAAACGAACCCAGTAAGCTTTTTCTCTGGCCCCCTGTTGACCTCCACAGACAACCAGACAATAAGAGCAGATTTATAGCATTGTTCATGGTGGCTGATAGCCACTTTTGGTGTGCACTGAGTCATGTTGTCCCGGAGGAGCTTTTAAGAAAAGAGGCGGGATTTAGACCATGCCTTCACTGTGGGTTAGAGATTTTAACCTGTCAGTGGTTTAACCCTAATACGGTCCTTATGTGAGTCCAGCAAATGAACACTGGTCATCAACAATGCCCTTCTGCATACTGAAAGTCAAACTCCATACTTCAGACTTCTGGTGGCAATAGCATAAATATTTCCTCTGTGTGTACATCTAGGGCCTCCTCAATTAAGTTAGGGAGAACTCCACCCTACTGTAAAACCATTTTTTTTTCCTTTTTTTTGGCGGGTGGCCAGTATGGGATCTGAACCCTTGACCTTGCTGTTATTAGTACCATGCTCTCCCAAGTAAGCTAACTGGCCGGCTCTGTAAAACTATTCTTAGTAGACTGGGTTGTATTTTTCATTTTAATAGACATACTGTAAAAATTTTTCAGCTTATAGAAAACCCTCGGAGTATGATTTAAGGCCCCAAGCAACACAGTGGGCTCTTATTTCAGATCAAAGAGGTGAAAAAGATTTTAAAGTTGGCCCTTTGGGATAAATTCTGCATTGAAGAGTCATGCTCCCGTAAGTTTTTCCTTACCATTGTTTTAATTACTATAAAGGTAAAACCTCACCATCTATTACCAAAGCCAACTTGGAAAGAATACTTCACTTGAGATTGCTGCCCAGTTTTGATTCTGTCTCCCAAAAGATTAAAGATGGAAATCTATTACCAGTTACAAGATTCTCAGAGAGTTTTCCAAAACCGAGTTAAAGTACAACCAAAAACTAGCTAAAGTTAATCTAATGATCAGCAGTTCCTAAGTCGATCTCAAGTGTGGCAGTGGGCCAGACCCTGTGCCTGGTACCCAGAGAATAGACCTGGGTCTTCCCTCTGTGAGCCTATACTCTAGGTAGAATCTATCTGCTCCACCTTGAGAAATAGCCAATTCTCGCTGATTCCCTGCTTCAGCTTGTTTA